TCATTATAAAATATAATTATTAATATCAAAGAATATTATTGATTATGATAATCTAATATCAATATAAAATAATATAAATTGTTAATTTACATCATATTAATAAATGAAATGAAATATAATATAAAATTAAATATAAATTAATTATTAATTGTTATTTCATTTATTTTATTATACAATATTAATATTATTTCATCAAATATTTAACTAATAAATGTATTAATGAATAATTTAATAATGTATTTATGATATTCATCATAAAATATCAATAATTTAATAAAATAATAAATCATATTTATTTCATTTTTAATTTAATTTTATATTAAATTGATTCAATCTTATTCTTTTATTTATTCATTTTCTTTATCTTTGTTTATATTTTCTTTGTTTATTTCATTATATTCTTTATTTTACTTCTTTATTCATTTGAATTTTATTCTTTCTTTTATTCTGTTTACTTTATTTCTTATTATCCATTTCTTTGTATTTTATTTCAATTAACTAAATACTGAATTAGTGTTATTGTTTCCTCAGTTACATCACTACACAGTCTGATGATTCTTTCTTTGATTTGTTTTCTGTTATAATTCTACTGTTAAATTCAGTACTTTCATCATAAATAACTTCTCTATTATACTTTACTTTCTTACATCTTATATATTTTGTTATTTTATATGTTCTCTTAAGTATTGTTTCTTCTATTACTTTACCTTCTTCTTTTTCTTCATAAATAATTTCTTTATATTCACTTATTAATTTATTGATTTCTTCTTTATCAATTGGTTTTAATCCTCTTGCCCATTTGATTAATTTTTCTATTTCTTCTTCTGATATTGTATTATCATCATCTTCATCTGGTTGTGAATCTACAAAAAACATTGGAGTATCACTATTTTCATTTATTTTATTTGTTTGTTTAATAAATTCAATCATTTCTTCTTTGAATTTCTCTTTCTCAATTTTAGATTTTTCAAATATCTTTCGTGGTATGAAGTTATAACATTTATTCCATACAATACATATATGTTTCCAAAAATCTTTAAATGGGAAAACATCAGATATAACTT